ACCATAATCAGCGCGTACTATAAAGCCAACTCCGACGGGTTGGCCTGATTGGGGGCCTTGGCAGTGCTCTGCGACCTTCGCTATCTCTTAATTTTTCTTCCTACATATATATATATATATATATATATAGTTTACATATTAAAACTATATACGACTGGCTATTCTTTCTTTTTTATGTGCCGTGTCCCTTCAGGACGTAATAATCATGACCCTCCACATCTTCCACTCCCTTGTAGCTATTAATAAATTTTATCTTTCGTTATTTCTCCCAAACCCTGTTCTATCATCCATTTATATCAAGTACGTTACGCACTTCAATGTGTCCTGTGAGTATCAGATTTTCCAAACATTTCTTCCTCATTACGTGCCCCCATAAATTTCAGCTGACTCTTCCTGGTGTCAAGGATAAGTTACCCTTAATTTCCACTTTCTGTATAACCTCGCCATGACTCACTGTTAAAGAATTAAAACAATTTTTTGATTTTGATTTTGACGTCACTACTGTGGAGTAATGAATAACGGTTCAGATTGAGGAATTGGAGAGCCGAGTTCGAATTCCTGTCGAATACATTACATTCACTTACGTTCTAATACTTTTGGGAAAGGTATGGATCCTTTTCTTCTCCCCCTAGCTATGGGTAAATCGCAAGACAGATTGGGTTCTAGAGTCTTGGATGGCAACTGGTCAGAAAGAAATAGCAACATACTGCAGGAAATGATCTTCTTCAGTCATGTATCGAAAGATACATGATGGCCTAAGCGTGTATCATGCATGCCACATAACTGACGGATGACATATAACTCCGTGATAATTAGAAAATCTTGATCTACACGGAAAGAAAATATATATATATATATATATATATATATAACTACTATTTTTTATTGTGAATAAACAGCTTACGTGTGGATAGAAAACGTATTAAGTTAATAAATAAAGATAGAAATAAGAGGAAGACAATTGTCTGTCATCTTACCGGGTGCATAGATTTTCTACGAAGACAAAAACACCTAGGCCGGGTTCATGATTTATTCAGCAGAAAATATCTTAACTCTATTAATATACGCCCTTTGTGCAAATGAATTCAAATTGAATGGATAATTCCGGTATTATTTACTTTTTTCCCCTATTTCACTAATGAAACATGACCCAGTGCTCATGTTAGTACTTTATATGTACGTTCCATGAAGTCTTTCCTTGTAGAGTAACCACAGATTCTCGATTGGATTTTAATTAGTAGAGTTTCCATGGCACATAACTGATCGACTTTTCATTCAAATCCGTAATTTTAAATGCTCACGCTATGTCTTGAAAAAACACTATATCATATTTACTATTTTGTATCAATGATATTGAATATGATAAAATTTTTCAACTTTTTAACTAGAAAAATCTCAAGTTGGTGTTAAAAAGTGCCGTAAAACTGTTGATTTACCGTATTTGACGGCACGGGTGTATAAAACACTTCCAAATTTCAGCAGGGCAAATCAAGAAAAAATAGTAATTAATGAAATTAGTAAAATTATTAGTAAATGGTACAGCTTAGGCTATATTTATGAGGTATTATTTTGGTTATAAAAGCCATGATTACAATTAAACGAAAAATAATAAGAAAAAAGAACATGAGCCTATAAAAACATTGGTATATACAAAGGTAAATAAACAAAATCAAGCCGTTATCACAATTTAACAAAACAGTACAGTTACCATTAAAATTTAGTCAACAATTTCCCATTATATGATTTGTACATCCTGTGTCTTTTAAACATTTTCGTAGAATAATTAGGATATAAAAATTATGATTGTATTTATATCAGTGCAACAGGAAGTTATCGCAAGAAAAATATTAATGAAACAAATACATTTTACAAATATATAATGAAATATATATATGAAACAAAGTACTAATATTAAACATTAATATAATGAATATGATCAATGATAACACTTTTAATCTGCATAATAGCCTTTGAAATAATGACAATAGGTATATGAAAGGTACTCTAAAGTCTAAGTTAACATGAGTTGCCAGGTTGCAAATTTCGGCCGACTATCGCGAATTTTAAAACTACATTATGGCATATAAGACGTAGGGGGAATTTTAAAAGATATTTTTTAATGAAAAAAGTGAACGATAAATGAGGGTCAGCATTGGATGATGCCTTTCATTTTTCACTTATTCATGCTATCAGGGGATATTGTGGAGAACATCACACGTGACACGATGGCAGCGTATACTGTCTAATACAGGAACCCTAACCAGCCGAGAATACAGACAAGCAGTCTACCATATTTATATAAGACGCAGGGGAATTAAAAAAAAAAAGATATTTTTAGTAAAAAAAAGCGCGCCTTTTATGCCGTCAAATACGGTATTTAAGATGGAATCGTCTATAATAACATATTTATATAATTTTAGATACTTTGTATTTATTTTCAATTTTTCGACTTGAATCGTTCGCCTATATTGCATATGATCCATTATTGTACATAATTAAG